TGGGCATTTAGATGTGCACGAATTTGAAAGATCTCCGTAGCGGTGGTGAGGGTAGATTCTAAGGCTGCGTGAGTGAAAATGGATTTCTCCAGGTGTCCGCTGTTTTTGAGCACGAGGACGTTTTTTTCCAAGATGGCGGCGAGGTACATGTTGTACCAGAGCCGGGTGGGGTATGTTGTAACATGTATGTATGTATGTATGTATGGGTAGTTGCTTTTGATCGCGAAAGCTAAGTCCTGGCTCGCGTTTGTAGGTAGCTAGTCAATACTCGTTCCATTTCGGCACAATGTGTTGGCTGCTTTGCTCTTAACGGGTCACTTTTGCGTCTAGTCTGTTGATGTTTCGTTCGTTTCGATGTTTCGTTCGGATTGACCTAAGTTTGGTCTAATAAAGGTGAAGCCTTTGAGCATATACATTGTATTAACCCCATTTAATGTTGTTGTTATGTTCAAAACCAGTAGCAAGCACACTCCCTGAAACGTGAAATAGTGATACAAATTACCCCACCATGTGATACAACTCACCCAAGCCATGGGGCAAGTTGTATCAAAAACATTGTTCTATTCGGCAGACCGTAGAAGAAAAACTAGTAGAAGTAGCGGAAAAGTTACTTTGCACAAAAAAGCAGAAGAATCAAGGAAGGAGATAGTATGGAAATAATGAGTATCACGGATAGTTACGAGGTTATGGGTCTCGGAGTAAAAACTGATACAACCCACCCCACTCTCCCCTATCTGCGCTGACGTCACACATTCAGAGGGGTATTCCTATGCATTAGCCCCTCTGAATCAAAATGCTGCAATTTTGAAATTCAATATTTCCGATTTAAGGCATTTTTCGATGTTGTGAGTGCCGAAACCGGTAATTGTGAGCCAGGGACCCCATTTTGGCTATCTCAACTCAAATATAATGTTAAGGTGGGAGGGTCCCTTTAACCGGTAGCGTCTGAGTTCAGGTCAAGTGACTGGAGTTACGGGTTGCTGACCCGTGACCGATAATGTTCAAGTATTTTTTTCCTTTAAAAAATCGCTGCGCTCCAACGCAGCATCGGAACCTCAGCAGACTTTCTAAAAACAAAGTTTGGGGCTTTCTACATACCTATATTTAAAAATCCAAGTTAAATAAAAATGATAACCTTCATGCTACGATGGCTTGAAGTTACCCGTCCGATTATACCCAAGTTTCCCCTACTACATTGTACCAGGGATATAATAAAATGGTTCCCACTGCATTTTATGAATACTGAAAAGCCTCGAAATTTAAGATAGTAAGAACAACTTAATAGTTCAGCAATCTCCAAATTTCGTTGCCTGCTGAGCTCGGGCGGTGTTACCCAATGGGCGGCGTTACCCCGAAAAATGTAGACATTTACTAAATGTGGAACAATGCAATTATGAACGACATTACAAGAAAACAATAAGGTGATATGTATGTAAAATTAATGCGACAATCATATAAAACTGAGAAATTGACACGATTATACGAAAAAAATCAAATCAAATCTGCAAGGAAATTGATCCCACCTCCAGCCTGGCCAGTAGCCTGAGAAATTGACCATGCACACAAAAAAATAATTACACTCTTCGGTTCTTCGGAGCCAAGTACTCCCATTAAGATGCTTCCTTAACTCACTTTTGCGCACGTCACGTGTTGACCTACACTCGACACACTCTTAAAGAGTATGGATGGAGCTGAAGAGCTCATAGAACACCCATTACGACACTCATCATACCGTTATGAAAGTCGTGTGACACCCAATATTAGTGTCATTTTTGTACAAGATCATGCGTGTTTTTTATTGTGCAAAAATGACACTAATATTGGGTGTCACACGACTCTCATAACGGTATGATGAGTGTCGTGGTGGGTGTTCTATGAGCTCTTCAGCTCCGTCCATACTCTTTAGAAGAGTGTGTCGAGTGTAGGTCAACACGTGACGCGCGCAAGAGTGAGTTAAGGAAGCATCTTAATGGGAGTATTTGGCTCCGAAGAACCGAAGAGTGTAATTATTTTTTTTTTGTGTGTGCGGCAAAAAATTACGTGACTAGACCCTAAAAGGTTAAGAGGTTCGGTGTTGCCATGTCTTCCCCTACAGTTCCGGCAGAAGCAGAAAGCCCACGCGGTGGTTCCCGAAGGTGATCTTGCCGGCCTCTAAAAGCTCCACGCATTTGGTTTTCATTCCGAGAAAAGTTTAGCATATTCAGATTTGGTTGTCCCGAGCTGAGGGAGGTGGGAGGATGGCTCGTATACATTACGAGCCCCCGGCCAAAAAAGTCGCACAGGCTCAGCCTCCGCTAGCACCCTCCCGCCACCCCCCCCTCCCTCTGTTCCCGAGCCTACAGTTATCAGACGCTTTGTTCGCCACCACATGCTGCGCAGCACGTACCTATGGTAACGTGCCCATCTGTTGGCGCGCTCCGTAGCATATAAAACCGTGCTACTGTGAGCAGGGTACTATACTTTGAGTGGCCCTGGCATTGCTCGCCTGTTCTGGAGCCTGAAATATCTTGAAAACCCATTTACGCCCTTCGTTGCGTTTTCGCAACGCAAGCAAGCGTCGACGTGATCGAAGCTTGAGAAGTGTGTAAAAGAGACTAACCGATGAGACAAGTTTCAGCGTATGTAGCATGGTTGTGCGCATGATACTACGCAGTTACAAGTCTGTGCGGCCGGTAAGTTACTGCCTAGAGCTCCCAGAGGGAAGTCGAAGGTTTTGTGAGTGATGACGTCACGAAAACCAAGATAAGTAGGCTAAGTGCTTAATAATATCGTAATGAAAATTGTGTAAACATATTCTGCAGAGTCCCTACAGTAGCGTAGATATGCATTTTGTTAAGAAATAATGCTACAAAAGGGTTTGTGACTATTTTCAAATATGACTACGGTCGCGTTGCGGGAACGCAACGAAGGGCACATCGGAAAGACAGCGGTGTTGCGAAAACGCAACGATGGGCACATTGGCAGGGTAGCGGAAGTATGAATATCAACAGTAGACTTCACTCGTGATACGCTGTGGGTTCTCTCTTTCTCTCCCCCATCTTCCTCCCTCTCCTCCTCGTTCCCCAACTCTGTCCCCTCTCTCTCTCTCTCTCTTTCTCTCTCTCTCTCTCTTTCTTTCTCTCTCTCATTTTGTAGCCATGAGGCTGTAGCTGCGGAACATCTTCAATAAAGGGGGGGGGAGCACTGCTGACTTTTGGTCTCATTTTTTCCATTTCCATTTCCATGCAACGCCTATCGGGATAATGTTAAAATGGCAAAATCAAGGGGGCACGGTGCCCCGGTGCCCCCTCCCCCCGCTCCGCCGCCTATGCCATGAGGGACGTATATAGGTATGTTTAGGGCAAGGTGCGTTCGCACGTAAAATGTTGCGACACATTTCATATTTGCTGGCTCAAACAGCCACAAACACTCCTTTCTTTTTCTCTCGCAGATTTTCGGCCTCGGGCTGTTCGTTCACTAGGCAATGTGTTCCCATGCATCTGAAAATCGCATGGTAGGAAATGGACCCATGCATCAAACGGTCGGCGATGCTAACGGAGCTGAGAGATAATTAGGTCCTTTGGAAATTGGATCTACTATGTACATTGTGCATAAATAATGAATAACGGGGATGTATTCTGGTATCAGGCGACAGATAGGCATCGCCATTCTCTGGATAGAATCTGCTGACTACCAGCATTTACGTTAGAAAAGATAACTGAGGGTCGGCAAATAGTGGGATAGGCCCCCTCTGAGGGTAGCTGAGCCCTTCGGCAGGGGTAATGAGGTCGGACCCATGGGAAAATAATAATTTTTAGGATTCATAACTCGCATAGATTCATAAGCTGCTTGATGTGGAGTATACGCCTGTTTTCTTACTTTGATAGGCTTTTTATCTAATCAGACCATTTTTAGAGCTAGCAGGATTATTGGAATTAGGGGAGACATTTGTCTGACCGGACACGGTCAATCGTAGACTGGAGACTGAGCCCAGCCAGTGGGCAGCCGCCACCCATGACCCACCCCCTTCCCCCCTCCCAACCACTCACTGCACCCGGCTACAGGCGCGCTCCTATGTGAGCTGCCCGATTGCGATATACGTTGCCGGTCCAGCCCGGAACAGGGGGATGAGGCGTGGAGGAGGATTCAACTATCCTGAAGATGGAAAGGACGGATTGACGTCGAATCACCATTCTGTCCAGGCATTGTCTCGAGAAAGAGGTTACACGTGAAGGTCGCTGGGAGTGGGGCCATGAAAATTTTGGATTAGGTGTAAACATGACCTGGGAGTCGATTTGTTGTGATGCGCTACGCCTTACGCGGGTAATTTGTTAGAGCCGGATCGGTCCTTTTTTCTTTTTGCTGAGAGTGGGTACGACTAACCTGCAATGGAATTTAACTTTACTCCTAGGAGGTTGGTTATAAATGATTGCGGATATACGCGCATACGAGAGGCACTGGTTTACTCCCAATCCTCCGTTTAATTGTATTCAGTGTGCACTGTGCAGGGTCTGATAGGTGGAGGTAATGGATCTGTCTAGCTTCCAAAAAGAAAGCATCACCCTGGATACGTTTCGACCACAACTTTAAATGAACAGCAATGGACAACGTAAATGGTTGATAATGACCGTGTTGCCATCTCCCCGTTCGCGAATCATGAAGTTATGCTTCCTCACTGAGGCTCTTAGGCGGGTTATAGAGCATGACGGATGTGGGTTCCGCATTTTCAAGCAATAGTTGTCAACAGTTGATTGATGTTTTGTCAAAACATATTAGCATATACGGCAGTTCAGTGTACTTTATGTCCGTCTGATGTGCCCGTCGTTGCGTTTTCGCAACGCTGATGGCGCCCGGTGTGCCCTTCGTTGCGATTTCGCAACGCATGTTTTTTACGTTTTTCTCGAGAAACTTTTGCTGCAGGCAAAAATTATTTTCGATTCCATACAAGGCCCTGGTAGGAGCATAACATATTTTGATTTCGTCGATTTTCATGATGGTCAATATTCCTGGGCATAAATGGGTTAAGGAGCATGGCTTTGCTCTTGTTGGTTCCTTGGATGCTTCTCGTGACATCAGGTCAGAAAACGTCCTTAGTTTAGGTACTTTGGTATGCAGTCTTAATTTTGTTTTTGATTTGTTGTAAGTTACATTTGATGGACTTGCAGGTATTAACCGATTTAAATAAAATCAATTATTGCTTCAAAACAGAAATGTCTAATATCTATGTAATATTTTATAATACCTTCCTATAGTTCCTAGTAGGTACCATATTTGATATTGGTATAGGTATCTACGATGATTCCAAAGATCGTTTGATTTGATTCCAAATCGATGATTCCAACACAAATTATTGATATTTTTATGCCTTCTTAATGCACAGTCTCTCTCTCTCTCTCTCTCTCTCTCTCTCTCTCTCTCTCTCTCTCTCTCTCTCTCTCTCTCTCTCTCTCTCTCTCTCTCTCTCTCTCTCTCTCTCTCTCTCTCTCTCTCTCTCTCTCTCTCTCTCTCTCTCTCTCTCTCTCTCTCTCTCTCGCTCTCTCTCTCGCTCTCTCTCTCGCTCTCTCTCTCGCTCTCTCTCTCGCTCTCTCTCGCTCTCTCTCGCTCTCTCTCTCTCTCGCTCTCGCTCTCGCTCTCGCTCTCGCTCTCGCTCTCGCTCTCGCTCTCTCTCTCTCTCTCTCTCTCTCTCTCTCTCTCTCTCTCTCTCTCTCTCTCTCTCTCTCTCTCTCTCTCTCTCTCTCTCTCTCTCTCTCTCTCTCTCTAAATATTCCTGTAACTGTAAACGGAAAATTTCTATGTTCGTCAAAAAAAGTGGTATTTGCATTCTATATATGGCCTTGGCATTTTGCATGTTCTGCATACCTACCTATTCTATTTTCCTTGACTTAACCCACACATACCGGGTGATCATTTGGGAATGAGATAAAGTAAGTGGCACGTGCAGATGTGTATTCAATAGCACACCAGACAAAAGACACGTCATTAGACTCGTCATCGTGGGACATTTTGTACTGCACACTATTATACACCTGCAAGCCACTGTTCATCTACAGCAGGTGCTCAAAGTGGCCACCCCCTTCTGAGCGGCACAGCTCAGCCCGACGGCGTGTGTGACGCGCCATCTTTCGCAGCTGCTCTTCGTCCATGTTGCGGGCGAAGTCCTCAACCAGTTCCTTCAGCTGTTCCAGCGTTTGGGGCTCGCTGCGCACGATCTGAGCCGTCACCAATGACCAGAAACAAAAGTCCAGACAAGACAGGTCGGGACTGTACGGCGGCCATCGGTGTTCACTGTTCCGGGAGATGACGCGGCCGCCGAACTTCGAGTGGAGGAAGTCCATCACGGGAGCAGTGACGTGCGGCGGCGCGCCGTCCTGCTGGAACCAGTACTGGTGGCGCGTCGCCCGAGCCTTCATCGCAGGCCACACCACCGTCTGCAGCATCTCCAGGTAGGCGTCGCTGTTGACGGAGCCAGTGAACCAGTGAACTGGCAGGCACTTCCCATCCACCACGCCCACCCACGCCATCACCTTCTACCCCTGGGCCTTCTTGCATGGCACGAGCTTGTTCGGATTCTCTGGCGACCAGCACACGGTGTTCTTCTTGTTTGGAGACGGATGCAGAACAAACCACTTTTCGTCACTCCAGAGTACACGCTCAAACCACTCCTCATCATGGGTTAGCCAGAATTCTCAGGAGTCCATCCTGGCCATCCGCGTCATCTCCCGGAACAGTGAACACCGATGGCCGCCGTACAGTCCCGACCTGTCTTGTCTGGACTTTTGTTTCTGGTCATTGGTGACGGCTCAGATCGTGCGCAGCGAGCCCCAAACGCTGGAACAGCTGAAGGAACTGGTTGAGGACTTCGCCCGCAACATGGACGAAGAGCAGCTGCGAAAGATGGCGCGTCACACACGCCGTCGGGCTGAGCTGTGCCGCTCAGAAGGGGGTGGCCACTTTGAGCACCTGCTGTAGATGAACAGTGGCTTGCAGGTGTATAATAGTGTGCAGTACAAAATGTCCCACGATGACGAGTCTAATGACGTGTCTTTTGTCTGGTGTGCTATTGAATACACATCTGCACGTGCCACTTACTTTATCTCATTCCCAAATGATCACCCGGTATATAGGCAAGGCATTTTTTTTCTTTGTCATAGTGAACTCGTGTCCAGAGGGCTGGGAGGAATACCGGGACCACTGCTACTACTTCTCCGACTTTGAGCTCACATGGACGGACGCCAATCAAATCTGCAAGGAAATTGATCCCACCTCCAGCCTGGCCACCATCAACAATCTGTAAGAGCTTCGAGAACATTGGACGGGTAGTTTGAACCGGTCTCGACCTGGGTTCAACAAATAGGTAACAACCATGTTAGTTTTTAGTTTTTACCAAACAAAAAATACCTATATTACTGGACACGGCTGAGCGTGATGAACATTGAACATGATGATGCCCACATAAGGAACATCTGATTTACCGGCATTTTGACAGTGCTTTTTGCCAAACCGGCACTCATACCTTAACCCTCGCCGGACCTATTGGTTTTCTACATACGCGCCGGCCCGAGGGGGGGGGGCGAGTAGGGGAGAGTGGGGTAATTTGGCCGGTGGTGTAAATTGGCCGCCCCCACCTGTACGATGTCTAATAAAAGTGAATGAAATAACTCTAGTCTCTATTCATTTGTCATGGGTAGAATAACTGGAGGACAAATGTCAAAACTTTGCCCCTCGTAGTTTTATTCAAAATTAATAAAACGTTAATTTCATTAGAAAATGGTAACTTTTACTTCTGTTTACAAAGCTGTATAACATGTAGTATTTGGGCTAAAAACGAATTCTGACATTATAGCGCCATTTTTGGGGGTGTTCAGCGGTTCCAAGAGCAATTTCATCTAATTCCGTATAGCCGTGATGACGTAAACACAAAAATTTTCAGAATGGCAATATGGGGTAATTTGGCCGGGACTAGCGGGGCAACTTGGCCGGTGCGCTCATGGTCACTATGCTGGGACGGCCGAGTTTTCATGGTCAATTGTACCATAAATGACATGATTCATGACCAACTTTGACTACTTTGATGCCTTACTTCCGATTGGTCAACTGTAAGAGCATGTGACGTCATCAAGGGTTACCAAACGTTTTTTGCTAATAAATCCTTACATAAAAATGGTACAGCCGCACAAATGGTCTCATTCTGTTCAGCTCGCCAAGGCGCATCGAATGATATGCATGATGACCTTGAAATCACGTGACCTTGAGGTCAAGCGACCTGAGGTAACGTGACTTGAGGTCAACCTTTGACCTTGACTTCTCGAGGTCAACACATATATGTTTCGATGCGGAATGACGAGAGAATTACGATAGTACTCGAAGTTTTGGCCTAGCTTGATTACTTCAAAAGTTATTCGTAAAAAACTGTCTACGCATCTAGAGCCGCTAATTTGGCTATTTTGACCCCTGTGACCCCATGAGTCAACCTCCAAAATGTGGTAAATGCGTCATAGGACACACGTCATTGCTGAATCTGAAGCTGACTCGCAATATAACAGAAAATCCCGACCGTAAACTAACACTGGCCAAATTGCCCCACACCCCCGGCCAAATAACCCTGCTAGTGGGGCAATTTGGCCGCCTTGCAGACCTTTGTAATACGTCACAAGTCAATTTCAATATAAGTAATTACTCTATCATTTCAAGTTCACTGTCAAGTAAAGTAAAATGAATGCGACACCTGTCAGCGTTGAGAAAGTGCAGAAATGTGTAGTCAATTTTAAGTTACATCGTTTTCTAAAAAAAGCGGCCAAATTACCCCACTCTCCCCTACGACCACCCCCTCGCCGTTTCGCCCCTGGTGGAGCTAGCGCGTCGCGGAAAAAACGAGCGTATGCGCCGTTACGAGACGCAGAGATTGGTACCCGATTTTAAGGTCCTAGGTCAACCGGTGACCTCTGAGGTCAGGTCAAGTGCCCCAAGGTACCGTTCAGTTTTTGGTGAATAACTTCGCAAAAACGGCCGCAGAGCGCCGATTTTTGCAGCATCGTGTTCGCCTCGCTCAGGCGCGTCGAATGATATACTTTTTGTCCGGGTCAGGTCAACTTGGGGTGTTGACCTCAGGTCAAGGTCAGGTCAGCACCCCCAGGTCACGAAACTGGTCGAAAGAGGTCATGTCGCATATCATTCGATTCGGCAGGCCTTCCTGAGTCCATTGGTAGCTTTCCCGACTCGCTAGCTCAATTTGATCAAGAGTTATTGACGAAAAACTAATATGACCTTGATGACGTCATAAATGACGTCACGCAAGGTCAACATTGCAAAAGTGACGCATCTAACCTTGCAAGGAGTGCATCAAATCACGATTCTGTGTGCTTGAGATAGTTGGAGATCGTTCCCAGCGCCAGAATAGCAGTTTTCATTTTTCCCCATTGACTTAGGTATAATGGTGAGGTCACGAAAATGACCTGACCTCATATGACCTTTAGGAAAAATCCGAGATATACAAGTTGTGGGACTCATAATGGATACTAGATCCTGCAAGTTTCATTTCCCTGTGACATCTCCTCTGGCAGTGAGGGCGTTGCGAAGTTGCGACATCTGAAGACCGTGCAGAGGTTCACTTATGACGTCATAGGTCAGTGACCTGACCTGACCCAAAAATGCGGTTGGTGTCAAAAGATCCGGCTTGGATCAAAGGTCAGGTATGCCAAGTTTCCGCTCTCTATCACCAGCGTGTTCGGAGCTATCGCGAAAAAAACCCTATGGGGGGGCGGCACCCGCCCCCCCCCCTCGGCCGGCGAGGGTTAATTAACCCGCGCTCCGTATAGGCTATCGGCGGACCCTACCACCCGTAGGGGAGGGGCCGTTTCGGCCCCCCCTAAGATCTCGGAAATTTACCGGCCGATTTTCAAAATTCAAACGGTGTTCGATGATAGCCCCACCTTGTGACCAAATTTCATTGACCTAGGTCAAACCGGTGACGTCACAGGTCAGGTCAAAGGTCGGATTTTCACCGTTCACAGGCATTTCAAGAAATGTGTTGTGAAATCGAGTAAATTGGCAATTTATTGAAAACCATTGATGGTACATTGTTCATCAAACACATACTTTGCTATCTGAGGTCACTGATACCAGGTCAGGTCACAGCGAGGTCAGGTCACCGGGGGTCACAATATGAAAGTGTGGTGTGATGCATGTTTTATGGTCCATTTTACATGACAAATGCGATTATGTGGGTTAGCCAGCCTTTGGGGCCAGCCTGGGTCACATTTTGGTGAAGGTCAGGTCAAGGTCAGGTCAAATTAGGTCAAATTTCAAAGTTGGTATTTTTGCATAAAATGAGTATTGATTCGGTGCAGCTCGTCACGGGGAGTCTAACGGTGGTCTTTGTTCTGCTCTACGAGGTCTGGAATTGCCAAAAATTGAGTTTGAAAATTTGACGTCATCATTTTTGAACAGTTTTTTCGCTATAACTTGGCCAAAAAAACGAGGTATCGATATGAAATTTGGTATGTAGATAGAAGACGGTAGGTACTATCACATATATTCCGGTTTTTTCGAAACTCATTTTTTTCGGCTAATATATAAAAAAATGCTTTTTTGATTTTTGGGGTTCAAAACTTAAAAATCTCAAAAATCCGAGATAGCAGTTTTGTAGCCCTGTCAATTCTACACCTTTTATGTTTTTATCATTTTTCTGTATCTTCAAAGCTGTAGGCCTGACAGGTCTTCTCGCGAAGGTCTTTTTTCGGTCGAAAATGACAGAACATGATGTCATTCTGACGTCATTTGTGGCCGACCTATCATAGCCTCTGGAAAAAATTTTTGGTCACAATGTGTAAAATTGATGCCCAGAGGGGTTCTGAAAGTTTGGTGGCGATATCTCCAGCCGTTTAGGAGATATCGACGGAAAAGGACAGGGAGGGGCCGTTTCGGCCCCTCCCCCTACAAGGCGCGGGTTCCTTTGACCTGACTTCAGTCGCTTGTTGACCTGAGTATAGTTTACTAAGCACCAATTGCTGTGCCTCGTGACAGCGCATGCCGATACGCTCGCTTTTTTCGCGAATTTGTAGCTAAATTAGGAGCGAAACGGTGAGGAGGGTCGCACCCCTGGTCGAAGAAAACCAATGGAACCGGCGAAAGGTGAGCTTCGAGCGAGATATTTTCATCATTTCGTATCGATTCAAATATTTTCTTCCAGGTATGAGGTGGCCTTTGTTAACGAGAAGCTCGGTGGGTCCAAGCATATCGGGCTGAACGACATCGAGCAAGAAGGAGTGTACGTTTGGGCCAGCGGCGAGCCTATCACCCTCGAGGTGAGCTTGTGCTTGACGGGCCATGACATAGTTTGTCCCGAATGTGCCACTTTCCTCAAATTAGTTTTTTGCTGCAGTTTTATGGGTTTTTATCATTGATATGATCATAAAAGAAAATCATGAATAATTAAGGAGGGATTCATTTTTTTATATATGCAAAGAGCTATTTTCCATCTTTGGTAGAGGCTTCCAGCGTGAATCCTTACATTTATTCATACCGAAGTACCTACCTACCTATCCCCCCCCCATACATACATACCCTAAATATTGATTGACCTAGTCACTAAAACTGCGCCGCGGCGAGATTTCTTATCGATCCACCTAAAATGCAAATTTGGTGTTCAGAGCCAAAGGAGCGCAGTCGCTAGGGGACGGGGAGGTCGTTATTCGTATAAACCCTCCTCCAGTAGGTACGTCTGCGTTATGTAAAAGGCCGCGGTCTGGCGGTAATAGATATATAATTATAGAAGAGCAAAACTCTTGATGAATATCGCTCCTTATAATTAAGATAGCTCATAGTTGTTTAATTCTTCTGAAATTGGGAAGGCCATTTGTTCCTTGAACTACCATAATCTATCCGTTTTCCATTTTCAGAACTGGTCTTGCAGTCAGCCGGACAATTACAATGACGAGGAAGACTGTGTAGAAATGCATGGAGATGGCCGATTCAATGACCAAAACTGTGAAGACTACCATACCTTTGTCTGCAAGATATAAGAAGAGGAATATATTCAGTGGCATCGTAAGAACTTAGCGAAACCCCCGCCAGGGGCGTCATCAGCTCGGCCAGGAAGTTTAATTAATATATTGGCACACGAAGCCTGCCACGATAGCAACCATTTACCAACGTGCAAAGGCACAAATTCTTTCATCGCTACGAGTATATGTACGTGAGAGGCGGCATCAGAACCAGCTGTCATGGTCGTGATTCCCAAAGCAATAAATCACAGCGTTCACACAACTTTTGCATCTCACAGCTCTGCCAAGGCTGTCCCCACTTGGCATCACGACTTCGGTAAAAGTCCCACCAGGTGCCTTTTCTCTTCAGGTTTCGACCGCTTCCTTGTCACGGAAGTGCTGCTGAATTTCCTGCAGTGTTTTACCCTTGGTTTCATAGCAGGCGATAGCGGTGTAGGCGACGCCCAGCAAACAGACGCCAGCGAAGAGCCAGAACGCGCCGGCCTGGGTTAGGGCGGTCACTAGCGGCGCAAACGTCAGCGTCACTAGAAAGGCCAGCGAGTAGTTGAAGCAGACGGCGATGCCGCTGGCGACGGCCTTCACCTCCGGGGCGAACAGCTCACCTGCGGCCGAGGGGTCTGGTCAGACGGTCAGGGGATGACAGCCGGTCAGCAGGTAAAGAGGGCAGAGAACGGGCAGAGAACAGAGACCGGTCAGAGGCGAGCAGCCGGTCAGGGACAGAGGACAACGACCCATTAGACGGGTCAGAGGACAGGAACCATCCAGAGGACATAGGCCAGTCAGAGGATAGAGATCGGTCACCGGTCAGAGGAGAGCAGCCGGCGAGCGGGTCAGAGGACAACGGCCTCCACTACTGAACCATTCATTAATTATTCAATATTCCAATGGATGCGTTTATGTAAATTATACAATAATATATGATTATGTTTTAATACTCCTCCAAACGAATACAAACAATAAACGTACCCTTGGTTCGTATGTATGCATGAATAACTTACTCATCATCAGCCACGGTATGGGTCCGAATCCAATTGAAAAGGCGAATACGTAGAGCATGAGCGAGGCGAGCGGCAGCCAGCCGAGGCTGTCGGCACTGCCGGAGTCCTTCAGGTGGAAGAAGACGCCGAGCGCCAGTAGACAGACGGCCATGAGAGCGTCCGAGGTGAGCAGCAGCACCTTCCTGCCCAGCCGGTCCACCAACACCACGGAGACCAGGGTGGACAGCACGATCACCAGGCCCACGACAATGGTGGCCAGCTCGGGCGCCACCGACGAGCCGGCGTCCTCGAAGATTCCCGTAGTGTAGAAGAGCACGGCGTTAATGCCGCTGAGTTGCTGCAGCAGCATCAGCATCAGCGACAGCGCGAACTGGCGCCGGTTCTCGCGGCTGACCAGGTCGCGGAACGTCACCCGCCGCTTGTGCGCCTCGCGGACCTGTTCGGCGAGACTGCGCAGCTCATCACTAACGTCGGCGCGCCGGCCGCGCAGCCAGACGAGCGCGCGCCGTGCCTCGTCCTCGCGGTTCTTCTCCAGCAGCCAGACGGGCGAGCGGCGCGTCCACAGCGCCAGCAGCAGCCACAGCACCGGCAGCGCCGCCGACGCCAGCGCCAGGTGGCTCCAGGTGGCGTACTTGCCGATCAAGTACGACAGGAAGATGCCGAACGTGAGCAGCAGCTGGAACCCGGCACCGAGCGCGCCACGGACGCGCGGCTCGCTCACCTCTCCGACGTAGGTGGGCGCGGCCACGGTAGCTACGCCGGCGGCGAGTCCGGTCAGCAGTCGGCCGGCCAGCAGCTGTCCGAGGGTGCCGGCGAACGCCACCAGCAGCCAGCCGGCGATGGCCGGCACGCTGACCGCCGCCATCGTGTCGCGCCGGCCGAACCGGTCCATCGCCCAGCCGCAGACGAGCGCGCCGAGCAGGGCGCCCAGCGGCACCGCGGCGCCCACCAGAGACACCTGGGATGTGCCCAGCTGCAGGGCCGAGCGCTGCAGCTCGGGACCGGCCGGACTCGTGTAGCCCAGCGCCAGGCCCGCGCCCACGCCGCCGACAGTCGCTGCGGCCGAGACACGGAGAGGTTAGGGCACGGAGACGGGATGAGACGGTCAGGGCTCGGAGACGGGAGGGTCAGGGCACGGAGACGGGAGGGTCAGGGCACGGGGACGGGAGGGTCAGGGCACGGGGACGGGAGGGTCAGGGCACGGAGACGGGAGGGTCAGGGCGCTGAGACGGGAGGGTCAGGGCTCGGAGACGGGAGGGTTAGCGCGCTGAGACGGGACACACAGGGGCCAGAGGACGGAGACGGGACACGGGTCAGGGCACTGTGGCGGCACATGTTCTGGGCGCGGAGACGGACACGGGTCAGAGTACGGAGACGGACACGGGTCAGAGTACGGAGACGGACACGGGTCAGGTCAGAGTACGGAGACGGACGGCCAGGTCACGGATACGAAAAACGGGTCAGGTCACATAATGATACTCAAATATGGAAATAAATGCACCTCTTATTCACGATTTACATGTCCATTGTTTAGGAGGGGCTAAAATACGATTGTCACCGATTACATTGTCTTCCTAAGTTTCTCTGCTTTCGCCCATTCCGATGGCGGTATAGCGTGCGCCACCATTCTGACCAACAATCGCAGCAGTCAGTGTGTCATTGGTATCCGTGGGCGAGGTATATGTATGACGCCGATCGGAACTAAGATTGTCGGAATTCCGATTTTGTCCAATGGTCCATTTCGGAATTCGGTTGGACAAAACCAGCCAGAAATCACTTCTCACACTAAAAGTTTTTAGTTGAATGGTTTGAAACATTTTTTTACCATGGTCATAATCAAAATTTTCAATAGTAAAAATGAAAAATAACCTTTTGCTCGTAACTAAAGGAAGCAAAATACAAATCCAAAACATATTTTCGGTGCTGGCCCTTCTACAATAACTTGGAGTGAAGAAGGTCCAGCAACGAAAATATATTTCGGATTTGTTTTTGACTTCGTTTGCTTATGATAAAAGGTTATCATTACTGGTTATCATTAGGACTTCTTACTGGACATTGGACGGACTTTGGACAAGCATTTCCTGAAACCATGGCATCACTAAGGCGAGGGCGTCACTTTCAGATAAACATACTGAATGCATCGGCCTTCTGGTAGGCATGTTTGTATGTATCATGCAAATCCCTTCAGAGACATACCTACCATGTAAACAATGGGTACGCTCGGGGCTCAGCCGAAAATGCAAATATGATCACGAACTCACGAGTCACGAAATTTAAATGATTACTTGATGCGCTTATGGAAACACAACACTGGCTTTAGGCATACGGCTCAAGCTTTACTTCTACATTTTTTCAAACCGGTCAAAGACACAGACACTAAAAGACCCTTCGGGTCAATACACGTAGCAGGAGCCGCTTTTTAACTCTCGCCCGCCGAGGGGGTGTAATCTTAAATGACACGCCTGAGCATGAGAAATGCGATGGTTACAAAACTCGCAGCTAAACGACTAATTTTGGCGAAGTATCCACAAAAAGCCGAAACCGTATAGGTCACTTAGTTTGACCTAATACCTCACAATCGGGTACCGGTCTTTGTGTTTCCTAGCAGTTTTACTTGAACGGCATTTTACTCTACAGTCCAAAATGACAATGTTGGGGGTTGATCGGTATCCCATTCGCCCATCCATTCAATTTAGATCAGCAAATGAATGCGAATTAACCCTCGCCCCGTTGGGGAGGGGGGGCATTTTGGCCCCCCTTGTGGTTTTTCCTGAATAGCAAAAAAACGGCGGCGCGCAGCGCCGCCAAATTTTCAGTACCTTTGCGGGCATCAATTTGACACCTTCACACCAAATTTCAAGTCTTAGGTCTCCTTAGGTCAGGAGTTATTGAGGTCAAACTGAGGTCATGTTCGAGCAAAAATGAACAAAAAACATGCAATCTTGAAACGCTCACCAAATCTACAGTTATCAAGCAATTTCAAAGTTCTTTATATGGTCTAATAGACAAAAAGCGGCGCTACAAAACTGCTATCTCGGATTTTCAAAATTTTGGGTTTTTGACCCAAAAAAATTCAAAAAATTGATTTTTTTAGAAAAACTAAAAAAAAATCCAAAATTTTTCCGAATTTCGAAACAACCAGAATATATGTGATAGTCCCTGCGCTCTTCTATATACATACCAAATTTCAGATCGATATCTCGTTTTTTGGCCAAGTTATAGCGAAAAAACTGTTCAAAAATGATGACGTCAAATTTTTGAACTCAATTTTTAGCGATTCTAGACCTCGTACGGCAAAACAAAAACCACTATTGAACTCCCCGTGACGAGCTGCATCGATTCGATACCCATTTTATGCAAAAATATCAACTTTGAAATTTGACCTTATTTGACCTGACCTTGACCTGACCTTGACCTGACCTTGACCAAAACGTGACCTAAGCTGGCCCCAAAGGCTGCCTGACCCACATAATCGCATTTGTCATGTAAAATGGACCATAAAACATGTATCACACGACACGTTCATATTGTGACCCCCCAGTGACCTGACCTCAGTGACCTGAACTGGTATCAGTGACCTCAACTAGCAAAATATGTGTTTGAAGAACATTTCCCCATCGATGATTTTCAATGAAATGCATTTTACTCGATTTTACAACGCATTTCTTGAAATGCCTGTAAACGGTGAAAATTGGACCTTTGACCTGACCTGTGACGTCATCGGTTTGACCTAGGTCAATAAAATTGGGTCACAAGGTAGTTCCCTGATAGGGCTATCCAACACCGTTTGCCGCTTGTCGCTACGTTGCGTGGTTCTCGAGATCTTAGGGGGGGGGGCCAAAATGGCCCCCCCCCCCCCAACGGGGCGCGTTGCTCGGCAGAGCCCAACGGGGCGCGGGTTAACTATTAATATTTGAAAAAAATCGCAGGTAAACACTTCGGATAAATTTAAGTAAAAATAGGTATGCACCGGATCAGGTCCAACTGAATTTTAATAAAACATAAGCACCTGCACGCCTAAAGCATTAAGTATCATTAACCCTCGCCGGCACAGGCCATTTTGCGTCCTTCGACGGCACAAGGGGGGGGGGGGGTACGACCCCCCTCGCGTTTGGCCCCTGATCTGATCGAGCTAGAGCTTCGCGGAAAAAAAACGAGCGCATGTTGCCCGTCACGAGAGGAAGCCGATGATACCCAATTTTAAGGTCCTAGGTCATCGGGTGACCTTCCAGGTCAGGTCAATAACCCGAAAACCGGGAAAATCGGGACCTGTTAGAAAGTCGTAAAGTGTGGCTGCTTTGTGGTTTTCCGGGGTGCTGATCACGAATATCGTGTTAGTTTGATCAGAGATGATGTCTTTAAGCATTTAAAGACATCTTTAAGCATTTAAAGACATCTTTAAGCATTTAAAGACATCTTTAAGCATTTAAAGACAGACAGGTCGGGTCAGGTCAGGTCAGGTCAACCGGTAGGGGTTGTGACGGGTATTCATAATACGTGTCAACCGACTCTGACAGCTTCGTAACATGATACGAAGGCACCAAAACTACTTCGTAAATGTTCAAATCAGTTGCTTAATTCGAATTCAGCTCCAAAAACTAGCCTAGAAACATGTAAAACTCGAAAAAGTGAACCCAGGTCACCCGAGGTCACCAAAGGTCAATGACCTGACCTGACCTTCAGGTGACCTTGACACCCACCCTAATATATGGGAGCAACATCAAATCACATGTTTGAACGTTTGAAACCACGAAAAGCTTGCAAACGCGCGGCTAATGCGAGCCGACATACGCCGAATCGCGATTCCGGCCAAACATGGTCTCGGAAAAGAGGTCACAGGTCAAAGGTCATTTGGGTCAGGGTCATGAAATTTTCAGGGTAGGTGTAAAATTGATCAATGCGAGCGTACTGAAAGTTTCGTCGCGATTGGCCGCTTTTTACGCGAGTTATTCGCGAAAAACCTTAGGGGGTTGCATCAACCCCTGTGCCGGCGAGGGTTAAAAGATTATGTAACAAATACCTAAGCATCCAAAGCCTGAAGCTGGTGCATAGGTATGTTGGTTTTATAACAATCGATATCAAAGCCACAATGATAATGGACTTATGAACGACTTACTCGCAGATTTATACGAATGACGGTAGGGATATAAAAGGGGATGGTCCGCAAAGATATCGTTCTGTCCGATACAGTCCGAGGGCAGCAATGACAGTGCTATCATATTGCGACGCGTGAGCCGATAGCAGGTAGATATCAGATTGTCCTTGCCAATACGTTTGATTGTTTATCTTAGTTTGCACGGGAGCATCGCCACTGTCAGAACGTGTTGTAACAGACAGCTTTCTGTTTATTTGTACATACGTGCCTAAACATGCCACTTGCGTGTGCGTCGGAGAAAGAATTACGCACGGCACGGGAAAGGGATGCACGAGGAGTGCGTGGGTGAACAACAGCAGTCGGGCTACAGTAACTCATTGGCAGCTGCTGTCATGCTGCCATCACATTTCCGAGTTCCGACGTAGACATTTTTGAGTCGCATCTAGAGTTGAGAGGAAGGGCGAGCGGCGATCGTCTAACCATGGTTCGCGCCTTCATTCGTCGGGCTTTACCTAATTCTGGTGCAGGAAGCCATGGACGGACTGGAAACCTGTGTAAGGACACTGGCCTTAAGCACACTCTTCTGTGTTTGTACTCATGCTCTAAAATGTGCACATGCTATAGGTACGTATAGCCTGAAGCACTATATATTCCGTGACTTTATATAGACTACATATTCCGTGGTCTGAAGTAAGGTAGCCGCCTAGGCAATTTCTCGTTCGTCGAGTCTTTGATGTAGCCTTCACCGAAGGTGTTGAAACTAATCGAGAATACAACTTGCTTAAATGCCACACAAACCAGTCCACGGGCCTCGCTTACCGCTGAGGCTGGCGAGGATCTGGTTCCTGAGACTGCTGGTGGGGGCGGATACCTCCTTCCCTTGCACTGCGATGTCGGACATCTCTTCCTCATGTCCCATCCTGCAGCAGTGACAGCGGAAGCTCTTCAGCAGTTAGACAGCCCTCATACCATACCCTCATACTCATACCTGAGTGCGCTCAGGTATGAGTATGAGTTTGCGTGAATAAAAATAAGGCTGCGTTGACACATGTTAAATTAAAAAGTGGTCAGCCCTATCAAGGCTCTCATGCAATGAAACCACCGCGTTAGAACAATGCAATCTTTTTAGTGAAACAAAACTTATCTCAAGGGGCGAACCAAGCCATAAGTAGGTACTCTGCGCTTTTAGGAAGTGCGGAGTTGAGGGTCTACTACTAAGATGCACATATATAGGAAACATTGCCGTAAGTCGTAACTTTTAAAAAAGTTAGTTTTTTTTTTGTGCCGTGTCCGCTAGGAAGGCTCACCTTTCCGATTTCAGCCTGCAGTCACTTCGGCGTCCAGTGTCGGAGGTGTAGTCCGGCCTCCTCCTCTAGTGTATGGATTGGTCTATAACCCGCAGTGCCTTGGACTGCTCAAGTGCTCGGCCTCCTGCAGTGCCTGGACTGCACAGTGCACAGCCTCCTGTGTGCACGCTAGCCCAGCTTCCAGCGTCCACGCTAGTCCAGCCTCCAGCGGGAGTGTCCAGGTCCAGTCCAGTGTCCAGGTCAGGCGCAATGTCCAGGCCCGCTGAGCTGGCTCTAGCCTCCAGTGAGCCTGCACTGCCGGTCTGTGACCAGCAGTGCCCTGTGCTCCGGCCAGGCGCCGCTCGAATGTCGTCCTTACAGGAGGGGCCATAGGGGTACCGAGCGCTGCACTCGCCGATCGGTTCAGAGGCGACTCCAGTGGCGGGCCTGAGGAGGACTGCACGGGCATAATCGCTCGACGCTGATCGGAGTGTGTTTGAATTGTGTGTGAGGTCATATAGGTACACGATAACGTCACTAGCCTGACCTTGGTCCTAGATCTTGAAAGATTTTGGAAAGCTCAATGGATAGTAGGTATGACGATAACACTGGGTAGCAGCTGACACTATCCTTTCCTTTCCATGAAGCTGCATGTTTTATTGATAATGCCTTTCGGTTCGTTATCGAAACACATTTAAGTTCCGTACATATATACTACGCTTCCATGGTACCAGTATAACGCCTTTTGGGGCGACTAACGGAGCGAGCGAGAGGGTGAGCCTTGCACGTGCGAAATTTCGAGGGGGTACCTCCAGCTGACTTGTGCACGGCACCCTACTAACCGGTCTCTAGCGATGTGCCAAATTTGAGCACAATCGGCCCAGCCGTTCTCGAGATCTGGAAGCGGCACCCTGCACGTGCGCACGTGCAAAATGGGTCCCAACTGACTTTTGCACGGCACCCTACTAACTGGTCCCTAACCGTGTACCAAATTCGAGCGCAATCGGTCCAGCCGTTCTCGAGATCTGGAAACGACCCCTGCACGTGCGCACGTGCAGCGGCACCCCAACTCTGGCACATGGATATGCATTGCCTAGCGGGTGCCTAGTGCCTACCTACATACCAACTTTCAGCGCAATCGGCCAAGTAGTTACCGAAATATTGCAACAATTACAAAACTGACACCTCTTCGTTTTGCACGTGGCACGTGCGTAAGGGGTCACCCACATGCATCGGGAATAGTCCAATACTTGGTAGAAGGAATGAAGCTACCCTACAAAAATTACCGCGTGTAAATCGGTCAAGTGGTTGCTGAGATATAAGCCTCGCAAAAGCGTGACCACGGCCGGCCGGCCGGCCGGCCGCTCATACTCAGAAATTTCTGTTAATCTAAGGAAAGACTACGCTCGCTTCGCTCGCTCCGTAACAAGTGAAGCCGATTTCGCAAAATGGTTTCGTTTTCGCATTTAGACATCATTTAAACCGAAAAGATTGGATAAGGTGCTAGCTAAAGCCATATATAAGTTCATTAGTTTGTTTTGCATAGGGTGAATAGTAACCGAGAAAAACGCATGTGAAACTTCGTTAAATCGAGTTCGATCATATTTTCTGGCAAAGGGAATTTTTATTATAGAAGTCAGATCACCAAGATTTCAAATCAACCGTTTATTTTTCTTGCACCAAGAGGTCGGCAAAGGAGGCTCCAGGTTCCGAAAATATTGGGATAAATTGGGTTCATCGGCTGACGGCTTCCTCTCGTCACGGGCAACAAGCTCGTAGTTTTTTTCCGCGAAGCTCTACCTCGATCAGAGGGCGAACGGCTGGGGGGGGGGGGGGATCCAACGGACCCACCCCCTATGGCCTATACGCTCGCGGCGTAAAACACCAATACGAGCGAGGGTTAAGGTCTCAGGCCAACCGGTGACCTCTGAGGTCAGTTCAAGTGGCCTTAGATGGGTTTGGTTTTTGATAAATGATTCCGCAAAAAAAAAAACGGTTGCAGAGACGCGATATCGGCATCATCGTGTTTGTCTCGCTCAGGCGTGTCGAATCGGATATTTTTTGTTCGGGTGAGGTCAACTTGAAGTGTTGACCTCGGGTCGAGGTCAGGTCAGAGCGTCTCAGGTCACAACAGTTGGTCGAAGGAATTCATATCGCATATCATTCGATTCGGCAGGTCCTCCTGAGTCCATTGATGGCCTTCGCGACTCGCTAGCTCAACTTGATCGGGAGTTATTGACGACAAAACTCTTATGACCCTAGTGACGTCACGCAAGGTCAACAATGCAAAAGTGAAGCATCAGACTTTGCAAGGAGTCCATGAAATCACGTTTCCGTGTGCTTGAGACAGAGGGTCAAGCCTCACTGCTGTCGGAGCCGGAGTCGGGGACATCTGCCTGTACCGCTGTCGGTCGCCTCTGTTCAGCTCATGTGTTGCCTATGTTGGCGCGGCTCCCCTCCAACACGGGTGGAAGGCACGTGCGCACCGAGCGACCCTGTCCCTGCCGCCAGTCACGTTCCGCGCTCGGGATTAGAGTGGCATCGCGTCCTCTGCGACCTAGGACTGGTTGCGATAAATGTACCAAATGTAAACGATTTGTAGACCACTGCCGGGCCAGGAGCGAACCTAAATATTGAAATGGAATGTGCTAGGTAAGAATGTGAGTGTTCATGTACATTTGCCTGTATGTATTATTCCCTCGACTACGTATGTGCGCTTGTGACCGCATATTTCTATTTTAACGTTCATGATAGTAGCCGAACCTTTACCCCATATATTTCTCACAAACAACTACCTATATGGATATCTGCAATATATATTTCGCCCGCTGGTCGCCTGCTTATATCACGCAGTGTGATGCAACACATGTAATGCGTGCTGGAACACTTCAAAATACACCTCGATAAACCACTCTGTGAAAACGCAGGATGACACGATGTGCGCCGGATAACATACAATACACACCTTCATACATCCGCTGGCAAACATTGGGCAAGTGAGGTATTGTATGAATAAGACGGCGAACCTAGAACAACTGGGTTTGGTAAAATACATAGCTAAATCATTTCAGAAATCAACACACCTCACATAACACACATAGGTACATCATGCATACTCATACATACGGAGGTACAATTCCTGATTGGTGCCCAGTTCGCATCGCGACCCACTAAGTAAAGGCACAAAGTCGCACCGTTGTGAGGCGCCTCTCCTAGATGCCTCAATGAGGAATATAAATGTGTGGGACCCGAAACCGGAAATGAAAGCCTTTGGTTTTCGGCTTTAATAAATTGGCGGTATTGTGTTCAATTGATCATCTTTAGTTTTCAACTTCATTTCACTCGCTCTACTTATTTGGACGACTATAAGGCACAACAACCGTTGACGGAACCGGGAGTCGGGACCACAAACAACTGCGACGCTTCCTCGTCCTAAACATTCCATAGGGATTTATACAGACATTAAAATACATGTCTTTTTTAACCAATTACACACAATCGAGTGCAAATGAACGACAAAACAGAAAAGGTCAATTTCTTCTAATACCCGCTCCTCCTATAAAATCACTGATCATAAGTCTACAAATTATGAAACGCAATTAAGATATCGTAGCGAGAGAGAACACACTGCAGACTGAACATTGAACAACCATACACTGTGCTGACTTTAGCGGTCCCCTTGAACAAATTTCAGATTCATCGGCCGTCGTACCACGCTACGCTAAGCACCCCACAACACAGTCGCCCATGTAGACCTGCAATACTGCGATACAATGCTATCAGCTCATCTTTGATACAAGGTGTTGGGATAAAACGCACGCAAGCGGTCGAAAGACTACACAATCACTAATATTCTCGCATTATTATGATAAATAGGTCCAATTTCACACAGGCGAGGGGAAATATCACCTGACCAAGATGAGTGCGTAAGCACAGGAATGAAACGTGGCCATCAGCACGTCTAGCAAACACAAATTAAGCATTTTATTTAAGTTAAAACCACTGCTAGGCATTGCCACCAGTGGCAAGAAACCGATAGCTTAAGACCATCGTTTGTGACCACGATATCATCTTAAGTTATCATTCACACCTATTTGGATCATCAGATATTTCAAAGTATTCATTAGAATCACTGGCTCACCAGACAATAGGTATTATGCTACACCTCACTCGCGCGGGAGCTCAGTTGCGGAAGTGCTCCTGAATCTCCTGTAGCGTTTTGCCCTTGGTCTCATAGCAGAAGATTGTGACATAGGCCACGCCGGCGAAGCAGACAGCTGCGAAGAGCCAGAACACGCCGGCCTCGGTGATGCCGTCGACGAGCGGCTGGAACGTGAGGGTGACGATGAAGGCCAGCGTCCAGTTGAAGGCGACGGCCACGCCGCTGGCCACGCCCTTCACCTCTGGCGCACAAAGCTCGCCTGGCGACAGAGAAAACAGCTCTCAGTACAACAGCTCGCCTGGCCGAGCGAAACACATGACCCAGTGCACTACGTAGTACGTACTCAGAGGCGCGTGTTTTTTTCAACCGAAGAGAGGCGCTACCCAGAGAATACCCCATTGCACGTCATTCAAAATTGGCTTACACCTCATCCCGGTCAGCTGGCTGCGTGGTCTAGTGGTTGGGGTGCGTGCCCGCCTCGTGATTCAAAGGACATGGGTTCGCAAGGGACTGCTCGCATATATTTTTGGCCGTTGTAGGTTTGAAGGTTGCTAGAGGTTGCAGGTTAGTATAGGTCAGGTTAGGTTAGGTTTATTTTGTTTTGGTTTGGTTAGAAAGAAGCATCTACGGGTAGCACCTCTCCTTGGTTGCACAAACGAAACACGCCTCAGAGGTAGGCTGAAGGCAAACACTGTATGAAAATTCCCATCGATCAGAACGTCTGATTCGCTTGAACTATTGTTCAACGGCGTATAATACGAGCACTGAAACCAGTTAACATCCAACATTTTTTTTTGTAACTTTTGGCAGTTCTGCGGTAAAAAACACAATATACAAAGCATGGTCAGAAATTAACGCTAGGCAACTGCTTAAATGAGAAAAAACATAGATAAGCTTGAAGCGGTATACTTACCCATCATGAGCCAGGGAATCGGTCCGAATCCGACCGAGAAAGCGAAGATGAACAACATGAGAGAGACCAGCGGCAGCCAGCCGATGTTTTCCACGTTGCCGCTGCCGTCGAACTTGATGTAGAAGAAGACGCCGAGCGCCAGCAGGCACACGCCCATGATGGCGTCAGAGATGATGAGCAGCACCTTCCTGCCCAGCCGATCCACCAGCACCACGCCGGCGAAGGTCGACAGCATCTGCACGATGCCCACGATGATGGTGGCCAGGTCGGAATCGATCGACGAGCCGGAGTCCGAGAAAATGTCCACGGTGTAGAAAATGACGGCGTTGACTCCGCTGAGCTGCTGGAACAGCATCAGCATCATGGACAGCACAAACGGTCGCAGGTTCTCCCTCTTGGCCAGGTCGCGGAACGATGCCTGGTTCTCGCGCGACTCCCGGAGCTGCTGGAGCATCTGGTTCAGCTCGCCGGTGACATCCGCGTCCGGTCCGCGCAGCCAGGTGAGCGTGTCCAGCGCCTCAGCCTCCTTGTCCTGGTCCAGCAGCCAGACGGGTGACTCGCGCAGCCAGCAGACCAACAGCAGCCACGCCGCCGGGAAAAACGACGACGCCATGGCCAGGAAGTTCCAGTGCAAGTACTTGCCCATGATATAGGTAAGCAGGATGCCCAGCGTCACCTGAAACTGGAAGCCGGCACCCATGGCTCCGCGGATGCGGGCCTCGCACACCTCGGCGACGTAGGTGGGCGCGACGACCGTGGTGCAGCCGGTGGCGAAGCCGGTGAGGATGCGGCCCGTCAGGATCATGCCGAAGCCGTTGGCGTATGTGATGAGCAGCCAGCCGAGCATGGCCGGCAGGCTGATGAGCACCATGGCGGTGCGCCGGCCGAACCGGTCCATGGTCGGGCCGCACGCCAGTCCGCCGAACAGGGCGCCCAGCGGCATCATCGAGCCGATCAGCGACACCTGTTTCGAATCCAGCGCTAGGCTGGACTTCTCCAGGTCGGGCCCGGCCGGACTCGAGTAGGCCAGCGTCAGACCGGCCACCAGGCCGCCGAAACAGGCTGTCGAAGGGAGGAGCGCACTGTCAGACGGCGGCGACGCGTGCTCGGACGGCGCACCCGCTACACACAGAACGTCGCCTGAGGTGGCGCGCCTTGAGAACAAGAACCCGAAGTAAGTACATACATACATACATGCTGGTCGCTGTACATGCTGTACATGCTGGTCGCTGGAGCACTCGCTGTGACACTTAGCATCAATATGCCTAAAAATACACAAACATGTATAATTTTCTACAATAAATCACGCTCCCCACTCCCCCGATTTAATAGCAATATGCATGTCACTTGCGTCAGCCGTTTTATGATGGCCACTATCTGGTTTGCACTAGTTGTCGATAGATACGGTCCTCCGCAATCGACCACGATAAAAACTCTGCATACAAGACACACGTGAGCCCTGAGCACACCGAATTTCCTCTCTCGGACACTACTTTGTGCGACACGCCAAACAGCACGGTTTAGCCTCCAGAGGGCAAAAACTCCAAAAATAGCCGTTTTTACGAAAATCGTTTTTTCGGCGATAACTTTTGACTCAAAAGAGCCATGACATTACTTTTGCCAGCATCGTGTTCCTCACGTCGAGACGCGTCGAATGAACTACAAGGTCAACCTTATAGTTCCTTATAGTTATAGTTCCTTAACCTTATAGTTAAGGTCAACCTTATGAACCTTGAACGGTCAACTTGAAAATTTGACCTCAGGTCAAGGTCATGACCTGACCGGAAAAGGTCATGTTGCATATCAGTCGATCCGCAACGTCGAGCCGAACACATCTAAGGCGTTTTCAGCGCTCTAGCACGCCTCTATCAGAAGTTATTAGCGAAAAACTGTTAGATTCTGTTCGTGACCTGAGATGACCTCGGGAACATGAGGGGTCACAGTTGCCATGTTCCGGTTCAGTGTGTCAATTTTACCTACATCTCGATGTTTGAGAGTGTCTAGAATTTAGCGTTCGTGAAAAACAGACGCTTTTCAATTTCTCCCATTGACTTGTAATGGAGAGGCCGCAAAATTGACCTGACCTTAGGTCACCGATATCAAAATTCCGAGATATACATTTTATAGATAATGTTGCTCTAATCAATCGCTGAAAGTTTCAAGGCAATCGATCAATCGGTGTAGCTATGACGAGCATTCTCATTTTTTTCTGAGGTGAGGTCACTTGGCCGTTACCTGGTGACCTGATCTAAAGCGACCTGGGTCTGAAATTTTCACATGTGCGGAAAGGATGCACGAACAGTTGTACCAAAAACGGCGGCGCTCCGCGGTTTTGAGATATCTGCGAAAAACCGCAGGGGGGTGTTTGAACACCCCCCCCCCCCGGCCCGGCGCGGGTTAAGGGCCCTGCATGGCTTTCTCAGAGGCTGACATATCGCCCTGCGGGACCTTCATGAGCCTCAAAAACCTCTATGGCCCCCCTCACGCCTGGGGTAACTAGCTTTCCTCAAGCATAAAATCCCTGAGTCTTGAGATGAGCGCATTAGACATGAACTAGGCCCTCAATAGACATGTGGTGAGTTGACCTACATATATCAAGCATGATATCGGCTCAATCAGGATTGGGATAGGCCCTCTCAGACCCAGACCAGGCACGGAGTACGGACCCTCCCACACATAGGATGCTCCTTTCATTCCTGGGATGAGCCTTCTCAGGCCTGAACTGGGCCCTCTCAGATCTGAAATGGGCCCCTCTCAAGCCTGAAGTGGACCCTCGCAGGCCTCAAATAGGTCCTCTAGGGCCTGAAATGGGCCCTCTCAGGCCTGAAATTGGCCCTCTCAGACCTGAAATGGGCCCTCTCAGCCTGGAAATTGTCCCTATCATGTCGAAAATGGACCCCCTCATACCGTAACAGGGCCCTCTCAGGTCTGAAATGGTGCCTCTTATGCCTGAAATGGCCCCTCTCAGGCCTCAAACGGACCCTCTCTGGCCTCAAACGGGCCCTCTCTGGCCTTAAACAGGCCCCTTAGGCCATAAAATGGACCCTCTAATGCTTGAAATGGGCCCCTCAGTCCTGAAACGGGCCCTCTCAGGCCTGAAATGGGCCCTCTCAGGCCTGAAATGGACCCTCTACGACCTCAAACAAGCCCTCTAGAGCCTGAAATGGGCCCTCTCAAGCTTCAAATGGGCCCCTTCAGGCCTGAATGGGCCCTCACAGGCATCAAATGGGCCTCTCAGGCCTGAAATGGGCCCTTTCATGCTTCAAATGGCCCCTTAATGCCTGAAATGGGCCCTCTCAGGCCTGAAATGGCCCTCTCATTCCCTGGAACGGGCCCTCCTGGGCTTTGGATTAGTTCAATCGGGCCTTGTATGTACCCTCTTAAATCATATAATGGGACTATAAATCCTAAAGGGGGCTATCAGGCCTGAAAACTATTTTTCAGACCTATAACGGACGTTGACATTATTATTAATAAAAAAATGTCAGGCTGCATTACGTTACAGTTCGAATCGACGGTGGGCCCCTAGGATAAGAGACGGGGGTGAGATCTCACCCTTTCACCCCCCCTCCCCCCGGATTGCGCCATTGAGTACCTAGCGCGCGCGGACCAGGTGTCCAGGATGGCAAAACTGCAGAGCAAATCGTCCCGTAGCGGGGCACTCGGCATGGTTGCCGGCTAAATGACCCACGGCCAGGTCGCCGAGGCACTGGGCATGAGTTGCCGCACGATTTGGCGCTCGTTGTCACGCGACAAGAGCGGATAGACGCCTGAAAACATGCCTGGGCTGGGCTAACCTGGGCTAATCCATAAGAAAACTGGCAAGGAGGGTGATTGCCAACAGTCATCCAGTCTCCAAGTGGACAATCCATCGGTACCGAAGGTTGTCTCTAAAGCTGAAGCCCACCAAGCCACGTCTCCAGCCGAAAACTTCTGCTGAACATGTCCAGGGCCATCTTTCAACAGGTGGGCGCCCCGGCTCATCGAGCTAGAACGACGCAGGACTGGTGCAGATCGAAATTCCCAGCATTCTGGGAGAAGGACAAATGACCGGGGAATAGTCTCGACCTGTCGCCGAGAGAAAATCTTAGGGCGATCGTCCGGTAAGAGGTGAACAAAATGGCACCAGGATAATCTGAAGGCACGCTGACCAGGAACGTAACGTTCGATCAATATTCAATCTGGTCCAAGATCAGTCCACAGAAACTGGACATGTTGATGTCTGATGCCCCGGACCGTATGCTTGCCGTTATCAGGGAGAAGTTGGGATACATATGCAAGAAAAGCGCACCTCTCGTGTTATTTTCATGCAATTGACGCTGGAAAGGTGTGGCATCATTTTTGGGACACCCTGTATGTACAGGTAAGCTCCATCCCTCCTTTGTAGCACTTGCGGCATAACGAAATGCAACATCTTTGTATTATGAGGTTATCGGTGGAGCCAACAAATAACTAAATGCAAGCAACTACTTTGTTGGCTCCGCCGATAACCTCATAACACAAATATGTCCCTAAATAATCAACATCTTTGCATATCACTGATCAGTTTAATGAGAGACAAAACATGCATATCATAACTTCAAAGACAAATAACTTCGCCTCACTGTTTTCTGATCGGAAACGCCGTCGCCTGACCTTGGTAGACGTCCTTGGACCTGATGAACCTGACGTTGCAGAGCCACGAGCATTGAGCATACAGCTCCAGCAAGAGTCGGCAAATAAAATGGGTCGCGATAGGACAAGCATTGCTCTTATCTGACGACGTACAGACACACATCAATTTTCCTGTAGACGAGGGTGAGCATAGGTAGATGGTAGACAAACATTAAAGGCATGGATAAATATCACACCATTGGAGATAGCTTCATTGAGAAGTCATCTGACAAAGCCTTGAAAACTTCTTTTTTGAACGTACCACAAGCGCGTTTCGCACCAATATGCGTCATTGTTCAAGCAATTTGATGTCGGTTTCATTAAAACAAATTAGTAGGTGAACGGAAGCCGAACATCGTCCTGTGCCTTACCAGACATAGTTCATGTCACCATCATGTGTCCACCACATGCGCCGCCTACGTACTGATGATGGCTGGGGTAGGGATACTTCAGTTCATATGATATCGATTAATCTCGAGTGGACGGTGTAACACTCGGGCTGTTGCATAATAGCATCCGTGTGTGTAGCTTTAGTCATTAGGCAAATACCGGGATGACAGCTTCAGTTCGGCTAAAACGACGAGCAATGCCGACAAAAGTAAAACGCTGTCAATTAAATGAGTCAAGCAATAGGCTGACTGGCCACACAGCCTCAAAGACAAGGCAAGAAAAAACACTAAAACAAGTGAGCAAACCTGCTGTGGGAGCAAGAAATGTCAAAATTAGATATTATGTTGTATATACTTATAAGATGTTAAATAAAGATTTATGAAGCATATTACCAGTCAATTTCGCCCGACGTAGCCTCCATCTACGAGCATTACGATGGAGAATGCACCTGTCGGCGCAGTTTGGATGCAGTTTGGAAGCGGAACAACCATCTGACGGCCATGTAATCAAATCTTTGAAGAAAATCTCTTTCCATAAACGCGAAAAGGAGCCCCCTCCCCCATAAAAAGATGCAAGCGGATGTAGCCGCAGTGCTGAAGTCGGTTGAGTACGGAAGCTACAAGCTGAACGAGTGTTTAACTTGATTGGTGCAACGCAGAGCAAAAAAGTGGGATCAAACCCCATAAGGCTCAGGGTGCAATGGGTACAAGCAGTGGCGCAGCCAGAACTCTGGCGACGGGGGTGAGAGACGTTCGTGATGGGCCCCCCAGCAAAGTGGGCCCCCCTCAACCTAATGGGGGGCCCCTTACCAACAACGAAAGGTCAGATCATTGTCCTGATCATTACCAGCCAAATCGGGGAAAAGGACAAATATCTCTTGATCTGAAGAGGCACGTAAAAAAACAACAGCATATTTACAGAGACACGACCATTCTGCCCATATTTGATCGACAGCGTGCAATTAATGGCCAGCGGCCACTCAAATGGTCGGGCTAGGTCAAAAAGCTTTTAAAAAAGCT